TAGAGACGGGGTTTCACCATGTTGACCAGGATGGTCTCGATCTCTTGACCTCGTGATCCACCCGCCTCGGCCTCCCAAAGTGCTGGGATTACAGGCTTGAGCCACCGCGCCCGGCAATTTTTTTCAAAAAAGGGTTCCTCTTTCCAAAGCCCACCTTCCAGCCTCTCCCCAAAAAGTAACCAGTGAAATATCTCTGTACTTTTCCAGAGAAAAAACGCTTACATTAGTGTGTTAATTTTAGAATTTACCTCACAGAGATTTTTTTTGCCCATCATCCTGAATTATTTTCATCCCAGCATTTACCACTTTGTTTTTTTGTTTTGTTTTTTTTCTTTGAGACAGGGTCTTACTCTGTTATCCAGGCTGGAGTGCAGCGGCATGATCATGGCTCACTGTAACCTCGAACTCTTGGGCTCAAGCAATCCTCCCAACCTTGGCCTTCTGAGTGTCTGGGGCTGCAGGTGTATGCCACCATGCCTGAGTAGTTTTAAAATTTTTTTGTAGAGAGGTGTTCTATGTTGCCCAGACTGGTCTTGAACTCCTGGCCTCAAGTGATGCCCTGCCTCTGGGTCTCAAAGTGCTGGGATTACAGGCGAGAGGCACTGCACCGGGCCTATTTTTGTGTACGTTTTTTGTTTAGTTTTGTTTTGGAGATGGACTTTTGCTCTTGTTGCCAAGGCTGGAGTGCAATGGCACAATCTCAGCTCACCAAATCCGAGTTCAAGCGATTCTCCTGCCTCAGCCTCCCGAGTACCTGGGATTACAGGCACACACCACTACACCTGGCTAAATTTTTTGGTATTTTTAGTAGAGATGGGGTTTCTCCATGTTGGTCAGGCTGGTCTCCAACTCCTAACCTGAGATGATCCACCCGCCTTAGCCTCCCAAAGTGCTAGGATTACAGGCGTGAGCCACCGCGCCCGGGTTTATGTACTTATGTATTGTTTCACCTTGTTAGAATACTATCCCCATGAGGGCTGGGATATGAGTATGGTTTGTTCATTGCTGAAGTCTCGTCATCTAGAATACTTTGGGTAGGAGCTACAAATATTTATTAACTGAATGAATGCTGGGAATTACACTAGATCTATTACTATAAAATGTGTTTTCACGTAATGTCCTTCTGTATCAGTGCTTGCCAACCAGTCTGTTTTTGTCAGGACAGCTTTCACCTTTATTCCTGTAAGCCGGGAATGTGATACTAATAACAATACATTTTTACTGAGCGCCTGTTTTATCCTTGGCCCTGCACATTTTCTCATTCAGTCCTTAGAACCCTTCCTTAGGCAAGTGTTATTCCCATTTTTCAGGTAAAAAAACTGAGTCCAGGCCAGTCACGGTGTCTCACGCCTGTAAACCCAGCATGTTGGGAGGCCAAGGCGGGCAGAACATATGGTCAGGAGATCAAGACCAGCCTGGCCAACATGGTAAAACCCCGTCTCTACTAAAATACAAAAAATTAGCCTGGCATGGTGGCGGGTGCCTGTAATAGCTACTTGGGAGGCTGAGGCAGGAGAACTGCTTGAAGCAGGAGGTGGAGGTTGCAGTGAACCGAGATCACAGCATTGCACTCCAGCCTGATGACAGAGTGAGACTCCATCTTAAAAAAAACAAAAAACTGAGTCCAAAGAAAGTCACACAGCTAGGTAGTGGGAGAGCCAAGCTTTGAATCATTCAGGTTTATTAGATTCCAATCTCCACACATTTTTTTTTTTTTTTTAAGACAGGCTCTTTTACCCAGGCTGAAGTGCAGACACGATTTCTGCTCACTGCAGCCTCAAACCCCTGGGCTCAAGCAATCCTTCCATCTCAGCCTCCCAAGTAGCTGGGTCTACAGGCACGTTATCACCACGCCCAGCTAATTTT